GATGTTTGTTTATCGCATCACCATATGCACCGACCGATTGCATCACGCGGTTGTCCCAGGCTTCTCTAGTGAGTATTTCTCCTCAAAAAATCACCATCAACATCATCGTCTTACAGCGAAATACGGTGAAGCGAACTTCACTGATCACTGCCAAACTCAATGCATAGTTTGTGTATGCATTGGGGTTTGATAGACGGCCACTGCCAGGGTGTCCAGCCACTAAGCGCGAGAACGATTAGGGTTCTCGTTCAAAGCCTTTAGTTCTGACAAGAATCTAACCGCAAGGCAGCGAGTGGAGCGAAGTGGGGGCCCATTTACTTGGATCGATTACTCCTCCACCATGTTTAACCAACTGAAACGTCAATTCTAGTCGAACCCTCAACCTGGAGGACCACAATAATAACTGTCGAGTAGGTGCATGCACCATTCTATCGATTTCCTTGTGTGGCTGTCAAAGTTGAGCTCCAAAAGACCGCAACTAGCAGGTTGAAGACATACAAAGATATGGCAGCGAACCGATAGCAGTGGCCTTCCTGTTGTCACTTCTCATCAAGTCAGAATGGTTGAAAAGCTGTTTGCACACCAAGATTGTGTACTCGGTGTGGTGACCATAAAGGTTCACTTTTCCGCCCTTCAATTTGGTCCAATCCCTCTCCATCTTATACTTTATCACTTACGTTGCGTACATTTCGAGCTTGACAGCGATAAGCAAAGTTCACTTCATTGTGTATCTCACTGTACAATGATTGTGATGACGATGATGATAAAACTCATACATCATTTTCAAACATTTATGGTTACAGGTCGATGAATTCCAGTGTGAGGTTAGCAAGTACCATTTTTCTGAATAGTTGATCTTGCTATTCAATCTGTTTTAATATTGATACACTATGCTTCAAATACTTGGCTGAAACAAGACAGATAGTTCAAGGATCACTAACTGAGTTACCCGAATCCTATGAATCCGCCTTGCAACTTTTTCGATTGTTTAACGAGCGCACACTGGTCCTTATGTGGAGGCTTTTTCACCCTTGATTAAATTCGCAACTCAGGTGGACGGATCATGTGTGCATTTTTGTCCCCATGTATATTGGCATTAAGCTACCGTTAACGTGGCTCAGTGCAAAATTGGAGGTCCTGTTGGACCACCTGCGATGAGTCTGACCATGCATTTTTTTGATGCAATTCACTCTTCAACTGACTGGTCGACGACAAAACCAGCAAAATCGGATCGCTCATCATCGACTTTTTGATCCAGGAGTTCGTGCACTCTATGTGTCAGAGCTAGACTAGCAGGTGCTGTTTCCACGTTCGGTATGTGCTTTGCACCTTCAAAGTACAAAGTGAGGCTACAGGACTGGGCGTCGCCCATTCCCGCCTTGAAACTAAATGGCCAGGAATTAATTATAGTGGATTACTTTTCCTACTTAGATAGTTGTGACCAATGACGGAGGCTCAGCAAAGCAGATAGCCGCTCGCATTTACAAGGCTCGAGCAACATATGCAGGACTGAAACACCTTTGACCTAGACGCCACGTTTCACTGAAGTTGAAGGGTCGTGTATGTTGTGCGAGCGTTCATTCAGTCCTACTTTATGGTTGTGAGACCTTGGATTTGCGAGTAGAAGATAACCATCGACTAGAGGTTTTCGACTATCGGTGTTTACGTTGGATGGAGCGAACGGGTTAGTAAAGTAGAGGTAAGCCATTGTGTGTTCGGGAGTCTATCAGGTATAAACCTGCTAGCACATCGAATTCAAATTAGTAGACTTCACTGGTTAGGACACGTATTGCGTATGCCCAGTTACGTCTGTCACATCGCGCCTTATTTGCTGTAGCTGCTCCGGGCTGGAGGAAACCGCGTGGAGGTCAACAGATGACGTAGAGATGAGGCATGAAGAATTGCACAGAGCCATTAGGTAGTGTAGGTGTCTCTCTTCTTCGCGGTTGGGGTCCGAAAGACTCCGCAACTGGTTAGTTGCAGACATTGAAGGATATGGCAACGAACTGACAGCAGTGACGTTTCTGTTGTCACTACGTATCAGGTCACAATAGTTGAAACGGCATATACACAGAGTGCGATTGCGTATTGTGTGCGTTGACCATAGTGGTTCACCTTCTTCCATTTCCCTCAAAGTAGGTCCAATCCCTGTCCACCTTAAATTTTACCACTAATCTTGAATGCATTACGAGTTAGGCAACGATCAGTGAAGTTCGCTTCACTGTATCTCGCTGAGTGATGATGATGATGGCTCGACACAGCATCGCCGAATTCAAGGACATGTGATTTTGGTGTATGAAATAATGCAGAACCCTGATCACCCATGTCATTCACTGTTCGCATTGTCGCCTAACACTCGCCTCTGGGGCATTCATCTAAATTAGTTCTCCAAACCTGTCGACCAGAGTAGCTGCGTCCTTCATTCGACCTCCGTGTTTACTATTTGGAACTCTCTATCACCTCACATTGTCTCTGTGCTCACACGGGATTCTTTCAAGTACAAACTGGATGAAACTTTGACAAGTCTTAAAGTTCGACATCCGCAGCAAGGCACGGAACAAAGATAATTTGTGACATTCTTCACCTTTCTGTAAACCGTAAATCCAGCCAGTTATATGGAAATCCCTATGAGAACAAGAGAAGGAACCGCTTGTGTAATTATTTTCCATAATAAAACTTTGATTGGTCATGCGGAAAACCAGGTGGCCTACAGTTCTGCGGTTTCAACCGATAAAACTCACTGCCATCGTTCCTGATAAACTGTCCTCGTCTGCGTCCACATCCACGCATCACAGATGACGTTTCAGCTCGCATGTAGAAAGCTCGATTGGTATTTGTCCATCTGAGACATCTGTGGTGCTGTCGGTGAAAAATTTAGTATATGCTGTAGCCGTTTGGCCGGTGCTCCTATGCGGCGCGGAAACTTAGCCATTCGGAAAACAAGATAAAGAAAGACTGTTAATGTTCAAACGCCACTATCTATGCAACATTGCACGAGTTTAATGGGCAACTGCACAAGCACAGCGTTTTGTGTCATCACAATTGCCCACTGGAGCAAGGGGTTGACTTCCATGGAATACGCTGATTGGGGCGTGTGTTACGCATGTCACCAGATAGGGTCCAACGGTGCACGTTGTTTGCCGAGGTGAGTGGAAAAAAGCCAACGGTGGTCAAACGAAGACCTGGCATGACAGTGCGAAACCCGTGTGGCCCGGACTGCACTTGGTCACACAGAAAGCGTTAGGCTGCCTGGATGAAGACCGTGAGATCTTACTTTTTTCAAAAGCAGGTTTAACAAAGTGATTCTCCCTATCACTGTCGCAGTGAAATTGACTGCGGAGTTTACTCTTATGCTGTAAATCATTTTGTGTAGTAGAAAATTTTACTGGCTTTACTGTGGGTTACGTTCAAGTGCAAATGTCTTCCCCCAAGACAAGCGAGAGGTTGATTTGAACTGACTATCCTTCGGAATTCACGTTCACGCGCAATCCTTAGTTCATCCAATGAACCATACACTCGAAAGCACTGTAGACTCGAGTTTCGCTTTTGTTAGAGCTCATCAACAGCAGTGCATATCCACCATGAAACAATTGTTATACGATTAACTATGAGAAAGGTCAAACAACAAAATGATACCTTTTCTGAATGTGAATATACTTGCAGAGACCAGTTGATATTTGGATCATGTTTGCAGATTCGACTCTGCTTTGATGATTTCTCGAAACGAGCAGTTCTGTTCACGATTCTATCCAATCAATAAACTTTTCACATGGGTTGAACAGTTAGAAAATAAAATACTCAAACTGTGAGAAGTACTTCAGGGACCTGACTACAACTTATTGGTGGGGGTGGTGGTGATCAAGCGCTTTGGGTTACTGTCACCGATATTGTTCGGGTCATAGAGTTCAAGGATCGAATCCCACTACCGCCACCCAACTTTGGTGGCAGACCATTTCATTGTTGTCCTGCTCAAAACCATACCCAACCTAACAGGGTCTTATGTGATACCCCGCTCCAAATCTCGAGACTGAGATTGCCGGTGTCCATCAATGAACAGCAGGTTCTTGTGATTTTGGGTTGTACCGCAGAGTGTCCATTACATAAGGGTCTGCAATCAAAAAGTGCATTCTTCTTTTAGATGATAGGGAGAAATATATAGGAGGGTAGTACAGCCAATGTGGAAGAATGCAATCGTTCACAAATTTAACAATACGATTCTGGATAACGGCTTGTTTGTGGAGCTTATGTGCATAAGAAGATAGTGTTCCAACTTTCTCGACAATTGTTTTCACAGTGACTGGATCAAATCGTGTTTCGGGTGAAATGGGGTGGTGGTATTGAACCGAAGTCAGTCAGTGGGTTGCACAGGTCTAGGGTTGTTCTCACACGTAGGTTCGTGCAATAGGTTCACTGTGTACATCCTGGACGACCCTTCACATCCGTCGCATGCCGATCTCACACAATGTCGTGGTCACACACACACCAATACTGGCTTTACATTACATTTCCGATTTATTCCTTCACCCAATTAGTGTGAACAGGAATGTTTCTGATCCGTATCTTGTACGTGTATTGTTAGACTGGAACAAGACAGTCGATGAGTTACGTGCTAATATCATGCGATGAATTCAAGTTATCTCTAAATTCGTCTTTCGCTTTCCTTTTTCTTTTTGTGAATTCCGTTCAGTGTGATCGGTGACAGTACTTTTTGACTGAAATGTCTGGCAAGAATCTCACATGGGCTCTGTGAATTCAAATACTACTTTATGTTGTTGTTGTTGTTGTTGTTGTTGCATCATTCGGTTAGTTGCATTCCTATTTGCCATGCGACTCGGTGTGCGCAGGGGGAGGGGACCAATTCCGAACTATTTCTAATCTGTTGTTGTTTTCCGATTCCTCATGAGTGATACGCATAAAAATGTGGTCTGTTATCCTAACGTCGTTTGTTTGCTTGTTTTCTTTAATTCCAAATTCATTCTCTCTCTCTCTCTGACTGATAGTCTTTGCGACCGCATGTGGACGATTTACGCAAGCGGAACCACACACAACTGGCTGTTCGTATTCACTTAAAACCTCCGGATCAAGTTGGTTATCAGGTGGTTAGTTTGCACTCGGAACTAGACACCTTAGTTCCACATAGTCCCAAACCGTTGGACCCGGATGGGGATTCACTTAGTCAATCGTCCGTCAGTTTCAGTCCATCACCAGATCCACGAAGCTGTTCGTCCGATCTGGAACGCTATCTCACTCCGATTATCCAGTCCTGGTTGTCGTGGATGCAGTTTGAGTCCGGTCATTTGGACTCTCCGTCCACGTCCCTATCCCCATCCACCCGAAAACAGACCGGACCGAGTAACAACAGGGTGGACGAGACGGGGACGGACAATTCACCACAGCTGATCATTGAACTTGATTTCTATTTGCTTGATTAATCAAGCTGCGCCATCCGCCGCCCCACCCCCGTACCACACACGGACAAATTAACTTGTCGAGTAATCTTTCACGCTTACCACACCATTTTGAATTGTGAATCGCCCGTTTTACTTCCTCGTTCATTTCTCTTCTCTTTTTTTCTTTTCTTTTCGATCTCATGTATTGTACCCGAAACCATGACAAAAATGTGTACACCACGTCACATCCTATACGGTGTGTTGCGTTGTTCCACAGACTGCAGATACCGTAGCCACATGACACTAATCTTCATTCTCTCCGTGCATTTATTATTGCTTGTGCATACGTACTCTGGGATAGCCGTACCAATCAGTTGTCCGTTCCGATCCTATGTGTTCCACCGCTCGCCCCCGCGCGCAATCTGTTGGTGCTCGCTTTTCATCACCGCATTGTGATTCACCCGCCGAAACAGTTCTTTTCTCTCTCTCTCTACCCCTATCCTCCTCCCCC